CCCAGTAAGTGCCGCTGGCCCTCGGGGCTCTCTGCTTGCCGTTGTCCGGAGCCAGCTGCCAAAGGAGAGTCTGTGAGCACCCCAGTGCTGTGGGGCTCCTGGCTGCATCTGGCATGAGTTAGCTGGCTAGAGTACTGGTTTCCTTTGGTCTCTACAGCACCCCATTCAAGAGCTGGTGAGCAGTGACACCTCCTCTGTACCTGCAGTGACAGTGTTTTCCTTAGAGAAGTTCTCTAGACGTTGCCTCTGCCCTGTTCCAAGCAGCAATTCCCTTTGGGGTGTCTGCACCTGGGACTGCTCACACTAGCACACTTGTGGCAGGAGGGTGGGATACCACTGCAGTTGGACTTCTCTAATGCCTGCTGCTGGGACTGAGTGACAGTGAGCTCATAGTTGGTCCCAGTGTTTCCCAGCAGATCTGATATAAATTCTGATGGCAGGCCACAAGTTTTGAGAGGAGATACCCTAAATCCTACAAGCACCTGTTCACTTTGGTGATGAGTGCTCACCTTTCCCCTGGGCTGGCTCAGGAAGAAATGCCAAACCACTTCTCTTTGAAGGCTGGAATAGGGTGCTGCATTGACTCACGCTTGGCCCAAAAGGTCCTTTGCAAGCTCTAGTTTTGATTAGCATGTTACCAGCAGAAGACATGGATGGGGGGAGGCAGCTTTGGTGTCTCTTCCTGTCTGGGTTCTCTGCACTTTGCTTGCTTTTGGCTATGACTTGGCTCCTGTGTTTGTGTGTGTGTGTGTCTTATCACAGGGGGAGGAGGTGAATGCTGGCAGGATTGGACTCACCATTGTACTCTCGGGCATGGTTGGGGCCCTGATCTCCGGCATCTGGTTGGATAGAAGCAAAACCTACAAGTAAGTCCCTTGCTTGCCTCTCTGCCCCTGGTGACTATGTTCTGCCTCTGTTCTGTGAGAGGAACAAGCCTGCGTGGATTCAGCTCTGCTGCCCAGGAATGAATTGCTGGGAGGAATTTGCAGGAAAGGGAAACAGGGTTCTTCTAAACCTAGATAGTGTTAAGTGAAACTCGGAGCAGTGCGTTGGTCTGTGCTAGGCCAGTACAAGGTCTGGTTCTGGTGCTTCCTTTTCCCAGCAGGTTTGCAGGCTGGAGGAGTTCATTCATCAATGTGTGTGTTGGCTCTTTCTGCTGTCTGTTTTGCTGGGTTTTGGGTTGGCCTGAGACGAGAGTTTTAGTGTTTGTATGTGAACTCCCCCTATGTCATACTGACAGAAGTTTAGCTGTTGTGATTGAGGTTGTTGAGAGGGAGCTGAGACCTCGGGAGAGGTGCCTGGGGGTGGAGAAGAGAAGGAGCAGCCTGTCTGAGCAGGGAAGATGTGGGCTGCCAAGGAGGGGTCTCTGAGGTTTGCGGGCGGCTGATAGGGGTTGTCTGGGCTACGCAAGTGGGGTGGCACTTCCCTTCCAGGCAGATGGAGCAAGGCAGAGTTCCCGTGTGCCAGCCTGTGGGCACCTTGCCTGTCAAGGTGGCCATGAGAGCGGTGTGCTGCCGTGTCCTGAGGTGGCTCTGGCTGGGTTCTTGCCAGCTCCTAGTAGAACAGGGGGAGATACAGCCCAGTAGCTGCTTTGTCAGGGCTGAGAGAGTTCTTGGCACAGGCAAAGTCAAGACTAGGCCATTTCTGTGCCCTTACAGTCTGGCTTCTGTGAATCTCTGTGCTAGTTAATGAAAGCACCATTGAATGTGGTGCCCAGAGGCCTCCTGAGAGAGCGCGGTGCTGTGTCCAGGGCATGGGTGCAGGGCGTGCGGTGAGGCGGTGTGGGCTCTGCTGCCCCTGGGCTCTCAGAGCAGGCTGGCCGCAAAGTCAAGACTAGGCCATTTCTGTGCCCTTACAGTCTGGCTTCTGTGAATCTCTGTGCTAGTTAATGAAAGCACCATTGAATGTGGTGCCCAGAGGCCTCCTGAGAGAGCGCGGTGCTGTGTCCAGGGCATGGGTGCAGGGCGTGCGGTGAGGCGGTGTGGGCTCTGCTGCCCCTGGGCTCTCAGAGGAGGCTGGCCAGCACACCCTGCCACCCTCTGCAGGGAGGCGGCTCGGGGTCCTGCATCTCTGCCAGCCCCAGGAACTCGTGTGACCCTCACAAGACTCCCTGGGTCCTTGTCCCCTAGACCTCTACAGGGTGTCCTCGGGGATGAAGGGTGCCTGTGATGCCTTATGGCGGGATTTGTGTTAACAGTTTTTCACTGTGCCACTGGCTTTGAGAACTGCGCTAACCTCCTCTCTGAGCAGGTCAGGGAGGATAGGGCTTTACTGCAGGAATAAGTGATAAATCGGCACCTTTGTCTGAAGGACAAAGGCAGCTTCAATGTCCTTCCCTTCCAGCAGCTTTTCACCTGGGGGAGCCCCTCTGCTTTTGCTCTAGCTGGTAGCTTGGGCCAGAAAAGCGATGTCTCGTGGTGGGGAGTTCAGGTGACTCTGACCAGCTGTGGGCTTGCGGCTACTGGAGACCTCTGGCCCTAGCTGTCAAGTCCGGGGATCATGACAAGGAGAATGGGGCCTGTCTGACAAGATGGAGTAGTGGAGGGGGGCTCCCGAGGTGCCCAGGAACTGCAGCAGATGACTGATAAAGAGCCCTGCAGGTCGCTGGCTGCTGTTTCTAGATCGTTGCATGCAGGTGAGTGCTTCTCTCTTGGCAGCTCGGAGAAGTGGAAACTCAGCTGCTGTGAACCGCACAGGCCAGCGGCGCGATGCAGAACGTCTCTTTCTGACCTGGGGCTAGTGCTAAGGGGGCCTTCCCAGGCTCTGCTGCAGCACATGGTCTTCCTGGCTCTCCCTGAGGCAAGCCAGGGTGCAGCATGAGGGCTCAGGAGCTTTGTGGCTCCCTAGCCAGAGCTGGGCTTTTAGCATGGGGGAAAAATAGTTCTGGGTTTGTTCCAAGGCCTCTGTTTGCTTGAAAGGACCATGCAGGTGGACAGAGCTGACTGAGTGTACAGAAAAGTAGGGGTTATGTCACCCATAGAATTTACCCTATAGACTCCAGGAGGTATTTTGGGACTAGATATAGCCTTATATGACGAAAAATTCTGCTAAGAATTTCTTCTCCATTGCAGCCCACTAAGTGGATTTCTATGGAACTAGCAATATTTTTCTGAATGCTACATAATCTTTATTTAGTCTCATTTAAAAGTCTATTTAAAAAAACTGCCAGAATGCCAGATGTTCTAAGTAGATCCCCCCCACCCCTTCCCTTCACCATTCAGAGTATCAGGAATATAATGATGAGCACATGAAAATCAGGAAGGAAAGATGTCAAGTATGTTTTTTTTAGACAGCATATAGAAAGGAGAGGGGGGAGACAGAGAGGTAGGCTGGCTGATGAATAGGCTACAGCTGTGACTGAGTGGAGCAGGGGGAGATTAATAACACGAGGTTTTGCAGAGCTTTATATACATGTTTGTGGGATTATTATTTTTTAAGTGTCCCGTCATCAGTTCCTTGAAGGGGTGAGGCTGTGCTTGTGAAAGCCAGTTGGGCTTTCCCTATCTCCTGTGCTTGGGCACCATATGGCCTTGCAGTCTTGCTTTTATTTGGCAGACAAGTCCCTGCAGCAGCCCCTGTACTGTTCTTATTTTTGGAATTAACAGGCACATATTTGGCCCACACAGATACATGGGTTATGTTGTGATGGGAGAACTGTCCCAAAACTCAGGCCACCCTTGGTGGGATTGTTTTTTGACAGCAGGTCACCTCTAGAATAACACGGTTTTGACATTAAGTTACATGGGCCTCCCTGTGCACCTTTGAGTTCCTGCCTGAGGGAAAGGGCTGACAGCTGGAGGCTGCTGATTTGCCTTGGCTGTCCTTGTACTTACAAGGAGTCTAGCCTGGAAACAGGGATTTAGGAACTGGATTAGTCAACGCTCCTCTCTGAATATGCTTTGCTTTTAAAGGGCGGTGTACAGATGGCAGAGGGCCTAGCTGCTTCCAGACAGCTGCTTTCTGCTGTTATCTCTGCACTTCAGGATTTCAGAGGTGTCCATCTCTCCCCATTGACTAGACACAGGACCTTAAGCACTGTTTTATACTTTAAGTGTGTATGACCATGAAATGTTTAAAATCTGGGAGAGGGAAGGAAAATGTGGGTAGTGGAGAATGGGGTAGTAGTTTTTTTGTGTGTGTGTGTGTTTAAAAGAATCCTAGGCTGGCCTGAGTTTTAGGCCTTCTTGTGGCAGCCTTTCCCAAGCTAGTCCCTGGGTAGTGGATGTGCCTCTGCCCCCTTCTGCCCTATCTCTTCTTTTGCAAATATTTTACCAAGGCTGTCCTCTTCTGTGCCCTTCATACAGAAAAAAAGTGACAGAAAACTGACTGCACAGGGATGTGGGGCATGAAGACCAAACTAGCCCTCCAATTCTTTCCTTTTCCAGAACCTGACCCCACAGTGTCCTCAACAGTGAGATCCTTCTGGGAGTATGGGGAAGAGGCATATCCGGGGTCTCGTGCAGCTGGGACATGCTGCACTCATGGTAAAGCCTGTGAAGGCTGCCCGTCCCCCCAGCCTGCACAGCAGAGAGCACTGGAGCTGCACGTAACATCCTCGTGAGCAGCTACGCTGGGCACCTGGTTGTGGCCTCCCACCTTCCCCTTCTTCATCTGTTGCTTTTGTTCAGCCCCTCTTCCTGTGGATGTTGCTTGTCTCTAGTGTTTTCCCAGCTCTGCTCCCCTGTGAGCTTGGGCCTGTCCCCTTGCCTTTCCTTGCCGCAGGGATCTGATGGGCCACTGCTGGGCTGGGCCTGGCCCTGCCTGTGTTTTGCTCTGCAGCTGCCGCTGGCGTTGGCTGAACAGTGAGAGCTGTGCTATCCTTTTGTGCTCCCCGCTGGTGCTCTGCCTGGCTGGCTTTCTCCTCCCAGGGTCCCTTTCTCACAGCCCTTTGTGCGGACTCTTTAATGTGCCTCTTAAAGAGGGCAAGGAATGTGACTGGGAGGAGATGAATGTCAGGGCAGCTTAGGGTCACCAAAGTGACAAGTGTGTCAGCTCCTTCACAGTCCTCCCTCTGGTTCTGCCATAGAGGCTTGGCAGCTGTAGCACCACCTGCCTCCGTGGTGGTGCTCTGGGCTCCTTTCCTAGACCCTAGAGTACAGAGATAGTTTAACCCATGTTGTCCTAAGGTGATACAGCAAAATGCATAATTTTGGCCATGTACTCTACAGGGTATCCTTTCAGGGAGGCTGGCTGCACTTCTTCCAGGTGGTGGTAATTATCAAGCCCTGTTGGGTTATCAGCCCTGACAGGTTGCCCAGAGCACCAAGATTTTATGCAAATGCCTTCTTGTTCCTTCATGTCTTTCTGTTCCCATAAGACCCAGATGGTTATGGTAGATGAGTTTTCAAGCAAAAGTAGGCATTTTTCAGTAGTGTTGCTGTGCTCTCACTAGTGAGCACGGTGGCAAGGGCCATCCCTGAGAAACATCCTTCCTCATCCTGCCTCCCCATGCTTCAGTAGCTGTTTGTGACTTGGTCAAACCCTGTGCTTGTGTGCAAAACTTTGGGTCTTGCTTGGACAACAGGGCAGAAAATGTCCTTTTTGTGTTTTGTTTTGTCATAAATGGTGTTCTCACTGAAGCAGGTGCTTGCTAAAGTCAGGTTTAGCAGAAGTCTACCCGTGTGCTTGATAACTGGTTCATGCAGCAGGAGCTGCATCCAGAGCTCCCTGTACAAGTCCCAAATAGGGGTCCTGCTTTAGGGCGCTTGCTGGAGTGTATTTGCAGTGCTCAACCTGCAGCCCTTGTCCTTCACAAAGGGCATCCAGTTTGATTTGTCTTACTGGAGCCTAATGACTGAGGGAAGTGGGTAAGCAAGGAGTTTGCAGCCTCTGCAAGTGAGCTAATGCACAGCAGAAGTACGCATGGCAAGGTGGAGTACAACTCTGCATTTTTTTTCCCCCACCTAATCCTGCAATTCCCGCAGAGATCACCACTAGCTTAAACCTGTGAGAGAGGCCTACTCTAGTTCTCAGCAGGGAGTTGCATGTTCTGGGAACTTCTCTGTTGCAGCTTGACTAATGACACCACCTCAGTGTGAAACAAGGTCCTCGCCACATCTGGTCACTAGCTCATCATCTTTGCCCTGGACTGGAGGAGCAAAGCACAAGCGCAGGCAGCTGTGAAGACGGTGTGTTTCATATGCAACCTCCCTTGAATGTTTGAACCATAAACCCAGGAAATGGGGCAAGATTGTGGGGCTGCCTGAGAACTCTGCACTGAGACCAAAACTAATGGGAGATGGGAGGAGACCGAACAAAACCTGTCTCTAGACACAATATCAAATGTCCTTGCTGACAGAGACTAAGCTTCTCAGGGTCAGAGCTCCTTCATGCAGGCTTGCGCTGTGTAGTGTGTGTTTTAGCACTGATTTCTGTGTATTTTGGAGACTCTTTTCTGTGGAAACAGCATCCAGTTCAATGTTGGTCTGTGCAGCCCAGGGAGATGGAGAATCAACCTTGACCTTTTGCAGTCAGCTCTTCTCCTCCAGGGCTGTTCTGTGCCAGGGGATAGGAGGCACGAGGACTCGGGGTGGGGGGGAGGATATCTAAGGAACTCCATAGTGGGCAGAGAAAGGCTTTTACTGCCTCTCCTTCACCACATGGGCTGCTCTCTAACCCCTCTCTTGGTCAGTCCTTCATATTATCTTCTGTAGCCTTCAGGCTATGTGCCAGTCTTGTAGCAGTCTCTGTAGTGGGTCACACTACACTACACCAGAAGAAACCCCTTTATGCTACCCTTAGAGGTGTTTTTTTTATCCACAAAAGTACTGGAAAAACATGTTAAAGCTATGTAGCATTGGAGGTTACAGGATTTGCCTACTCCTTTTCTTTAAAAACAAAAACAGAAAAAACACCCTACTTGTCAGTGAAAAATTTAATGTATTGAAAGTCTAAATAATGTATCTTTTGAATCTTTATAAGCATGAATCAGAAGTTGAAGTCTGAAGTTAGCTTCTTAAACTTGTATTTGACTAAAATTACTTAGGGGCATGAGCTTTGCTGTCGGTAATCCAGCATTGCTGGAGAACAGAATATTTTAGTTTTATTTGTGATAGTTCAGTGTACTGGATAATTTTTCTTGCAAATATAATAGTGGTTGCCTGTTACCAGTTTGAGGTTGGATTTCTGACAGTATTTGCACTAAAACCAAAATTAAATGTGAAAATAGACATATTTTTTTTGTTATTCCTTTAGTAAAATTGTATATGCTGATAGCAAACACATTCTTTAACGGATTAAGATTGTAAGATTGGCTAAGGAGTACAAAAATAGCTTGTGAATATACTTATAACTTGTTCCTAGAAGTCCCCCTCCCCATGCACCCCCAAGTTAATCTTCTTCTACTCTGGTAACTGTTCTGCTTTCAAGATCCTCTTGGAATTTCAATCAGTTACAGGACTTACCTTTTCCTCCCTCCTTCCTTCCCTGGATATGCACTCCTTGCTAGCTTCTCTCCTAGAAGGGCTGTTTTCCTTGGCTGTGGGGCGGAATTCCTGGTTATGCAGTCAGGGGCAGCAGTTGCTGTGGGCTCAGTGCTGGCGAAGCTGGCGGGGCTGTTGCTCCTGCCTGGCTGCAGCGAGCGCCCGCTGCTCCTCGCGCCGTTCCCCGTGCGGAGCCGTTCGCGGGGCCCCACTGTCCCACCGCTGTGCACGGGGCAGAGCTCGGGGCTTGGGGGCTGCTGGCTGTAGCACTAGTCCCACCAGGTGCCCTGTGGTCTGAGCTACAAGGTTGCCCTGTGTTGTGGGTTGCATCTTGAGGACAGGCAGCTTAAGCATAGAAAGCTGTGTCACGGCAACTTGTTCTGGGTAGCACAGGGGAAAAAAAAAAAAAAAACAGATCCATAAAACAGCATCCTTGTTTTTTTCTCACTGTTCTAGAGTTCTTTTGACCTCTCAAAAGTGTCCTCTGTGTGATCTGTCCTCTGTATGTGGTTCTTCCAAATCTTGAGGTCAGCCTTTCTCAGCTGACCCGTGCCACAGCTCGCCGTTCATTCCCCTAGCATTCCCATTCCCCTTCTGCCACCTCCGCCTTTTGCTTTCCTGCTCGCAAGTGTTCACCCCTTCAGCCCCCTGCTCATAAATGTGTCCAGCTGGTTATAATACAGAGGGTGCCCAAGAACCCTAGCCAGGAGAAGCAGTCATTAAGGTTAATGATCTTTGACTAAGTCTAATGATTTGACTTTCTCTCCTGTCTAGGGAGATATGACACATGGCCAGGGAACAGTCAGCCCATGTTAGGATAGGAGTTTCTTGACTACCTCCTAGGTGCCTCCCTATAGGTGCCATGTCATTCCTGACCCCGCAGGGAGCAAAGTGCTCCTCAAAGGCAGAAAGGCAGGAACATTCATGTCTGCTCGTGCATCTCCTGCTGCCCTGCTTTGTGTCGGGGCCCTTCTGTGCTCTGTGTGAGTGCAGTTCCTCTGCCTGTGGGAAGGGTGTGAGAGTGCTGTGCAACCTTCTTGTCACCCTGGGCTGCAAGCTGTGCTGTGATCTGTGGACGGGAATAGCAGGATTAAATAAAACCTGGATTGTGCTTTGCCTTGCAGGCAGACAACGGTCGTGGTTTATATCATGTCTCTGGTGGGAATGGTCGTCTACACGTTCACGCTGAGCCTGGGCTCACTCTGGGTGCTCTTCGTGACGGCGGGCGTGCTGGGGTGAGTTCTCGCACGAGCCGCTTCGCGCCGCGCGTCGTCTGCCGGGGCGCAGGGGGACACGGGGACGCGGCACCGGAGGCGGCGGGCACGGCTGCTCTCTGCGCGGGGCGCTCGTGTGGGATACAGGTTAAATGATCTGCTCTGCTCATCTCTGGTGTGTGTTTGATTAGTCAGGACGTAAGTGTAGCCCTGCTTGACTACAGTTGCCTTAAATGAATGCTCTAGGCAGTCAAATGAAAAAATTTGAGAAACAAATAGGAGTGGGGTGTCCTAGCAGGGAAGAATGAAAGGCACGTGCGTTGGGGTGGCTGACTGGCTGTGTTGGGCATTGGTGCCCTTCAGTTACCTGTGGCTGCCTTGGTGCCTCACTCCTCAGCTAGCAGCTGAGGCTGTCTGCGGCTCTGGGCACAGGGATCTGAGAGAGGGAGGGAGACCTGTGCACGGTGAGGGAGTGGGACAGCTGTCCCACTGTGTGGGCTGCAGTGATGCTAGGGGACACATCCTGTGCAGCCAGTGACTGTAGATCGTAACGGGTATGGGCTGCCCTGTGCTTCTTTAGGCCTCCTCCTAGCAGCTTCTGAGCCTTCCTTGCTATGTGTTTCTCTACAGGTTTTTCATGACAGGATACCTGCCCCTGGGTTTTGAGTTCGCTGCAGAGTTAACATATCCAGAATCAGAGGGAACATCATCAGGGCTCCTTAACGTCTCAGCACAGGTAGGTATACTCTTTCTTTTTCCTTACCTTCCAGAACCTCTTTTTCGGCAGAAAGATCAAGTCATAGTTCCTGCCCCTGACCCCACTTTCTTGTCTGTGATTATTGTCACGTACTTCAGATCTAAGCACCTTAAGACTCTGCTTTTTAAAATCCTAGGTTGTAGCAGGACCCATTCTGTTTCTGCTCAGGAAATATCTGTCAGGATGCTGATCATCTGTGCCTTTTCCATCATTGCTCCTAACAACCTAGGACCTGCCTCTCCTCCAGTGAGAGAAGATTTCAGTTCTCAAGCTCACCTTTCTGCCCATCTTGCAAGGAGGTGCAAGGAAGGATTTATAACCAAGTTTTAGCCTAGCTAGACCAACAGCTTGGCAGACCTGTATACTCTAATATTTTGGTAGTGCTGGGAAATTGTTTGGGCTGCTTCATAACAGCAATAGAGCTTGACCCCTCTTTTGTCCTGTTGTAGATCTTTGGTATTGCTTTCACCATCAGCCAAGGACAGATCATGGATCACTTTGAGACAAAGGCAGGAAACCTCTTTCTTTGTTCCTTCCTATTCCTGGGGACTATCATGACAGGTAATAAGACTTGCCTCTGTTTCTATACTGTGGCTCTTCTGCTTGGGTATGTGAACTGAAGGGCTCCTATGTGTAGCAGTGCCTGCAAGAAATAACAGAAGCCACAGCAATGCTGCTGTGCTGCTTTAAGCAGCTGATTTGTGTTAAAAAGAAGAGATCCCTGCCCAGCTGCTGGCTGGGGTCTCAAAGATGAGTCTCTCACCTGCTGAGATAAGGAGTCTCTGTACACAGAAGTGCCCTCCTCAGTCAGGGGGGTGGCTTCTCCTGCTGACCTTAATGTGTTCCTTGTCTCCTCTGGGGCTTCTGCTACTTTTTTGGGTACTAGGGAAAATGATTTGGGCTCTGAACAGTGACTTAATTGCTTTCACATTTCTCTGTCTCCTTCTGTGTCCCAGCATTTATTAAGGCTGATCTTCGAAGACAGCAGGCCAATTTGGAAAGTGAACAAACAGTGAGTAAATCCCCTTTGATCCCTTCTCTGCTACTGTTAGTTCACTGCTCTTAGCTCAGGGTAGTACCCAACCTCAGTTCTTTCTAGGAATGGGGTTGGCTCTTTCTGAGTCACAATTATAGTTTTGATCCTATCATCTCAATTCTTCTCATGTCACCTTTTGCCTGTGGGGAAGCTCCTTGTTGGCATTTTCAGACAATTGACTGTAATCCCAGCTCCATTGGAGGCCAGTGTGACATGGTTAATGTCATGCTGAATATCTGAGACTTATTTTTGAGGTTTTGGTCCTTGTGGAGTCTTCAGGGCTCTGCATGTCTTCCTATTAGGTAGAGATGGGATATGGGTCAGTGCTGTGCTCCCTTCTTTTCCCTGTTAACCATGAAGCCCTCAAATACTTTGCCCTTGTTTTGAGCTGGCTGGTCATTCTTCCAGCCCCCTATGGAGGCAAGTTCTTACTCCCTGTCCCCACCTGCAGAGTGGGGTCCAGTCTCTAGGACTGGAGGAAGGTAGGTGGCAAAGCCCCCATCAGGGCTGGGATGGCCTTCATCCCCACGCTTGGTGCCGTGTGTGGACAAGGCTGCAGGTTAGGGTTTCAGTGTCAGGGTCTGAGGGGCACCATGCAGTAAGCAGAGCTGTTTGCAGGTGAGAGAGGACCTAACCACAGCAGGTAATCTCAGAAGCTCCCCTTGTGCAGAAAGGGAAGGAACTAGTGCTTGCTTTGGCCTCTTTCCCCC